ACGGTTATTCTGGTCAAACCAACGCGTGTAATTCTTCGCATAGAAAATGGCAAGAAATCGCATTAAGGCGATTAGCAAATGGCCTATAGCAAAGTACTGCTTTACAAAACATCTGGTGTTTCAATCAGAGTCAAGGTTATTTTCGTCTGATCGTGGTTCGTAACCTGTTGCAGTAGGTATATGCCAGAGTTCATTTCATTCTATGAAATATTTCGCAATAACAGCAGCACAAGTTTCACCCGTTATACTTATTCCAATTGCTATTAAATTTCTTTCTTGGCATTTGCAGAATCCGAACAGAAACTGGCGGAGGTGCTTGGTGTCCTGAAAGACAAATTCAACCTGAGGTCCGTGAATGGTTGCAGATCGATCTCAAAACTGTAAAAGTCATAACGGCGATAGAAACGCAGGGACGCTACGATCATGGTATCGGCATGGAGTATACCCCAACGTATGCGATCGAATACTGGAGACCGAAGATGGATTCATGGCACCGGTATAAGGATCGGAGTGGAAAAGAGGTAGAGCGTAACTGATGACATAATATAAGTGGTTACCGTAAACCAGCAGGCACATGCAGATTTTCATGCAGTTCTATAGGATTAAATTTAAGCATAAATCATCACCTTCCCGCATACAGGCCCTTATTCTGAAACCCTTGCTGTTCTTTAATTTTATTTTTACAACCTGTAAGTCACAGAATTGTAGTAATTTGAGAGCTGAATTCGTTTGCAGTCTTTCTCTCATATATGCTGCCCCCGGCATTCGTATTTGCTGCTGTGGCAGTTCTGTTGAATGCCGCTTCCCGTATAGGGTAGAATTTCTAGTTGACCTCATCGATTGGTTTAAATGACCGATCTCGCGTCACTTTTAGGTCATTGACTACCAAGGTAAGGTGACAGTGTGAAGGCGGCGTTTCTGCGAAGACCCGTCTTCGGACGAATCGCTTTACCACCCACCATTCGTTTCGGCATGACGATCAATCATTGGACAAAGAACGAAGGTTTCGCATTAGGCACATGGTGCGGCGTTAAACTTGCAAGTTTTATTAGCTGTCGTCACCGCGACAGATGCGAATGCGTTGACGCTAAATCGGGGCACATATACCAGAGGACGTGTCTCGTCGGCAGACAGAAAAATTGGGTTAGCATATGGCGCATACCACTGCGTCGTTAATAATTGATTGCGGAACCCCCAACGACGTTTTTTCTTATGCACCTGTGGTAAGCGACCAAAGCGAGAGAGTAGCGTTGCTGAAAAACACCTGATGGTTATGTACCCTTTACGCTACCCAACTTTATACCGTCGCCGCTTTAAACTAGTTTGCCCAACTCGCAGTCACCACGCCACAGCGTCAGGCACTTGTGACTTGTAAAACATGTGTCTGACTGGAACATAATTGTACAATTTACAATGGTGTGAGTGTCGCGTTACAGAATGGTTTGGTATTTTAGATTCTGATCGGCAACAACAATACGTTCACGCCCGTCTTCAGGGCAATCGACAGTCCGTTTATAGCAACAAAAATCCGCATTATACCGCTTTCAGACTACATTCGAACGGTATGCCTTCGGGTTGAGCTCTACGGCTGCACTTACACAGGTGCGATGAAGTTTGAATACTCTGAAACAGCCTCTTTTCCAATCTGTTTTAACTCGCATGTTCTATCGTTTTCACAAAATAAACACTGGCATGAACCATTTTGCCTAAGGGGAAAAAATTGTGGGAAAATATGGTTATTTCCTCTGGTGCAGAGGTGAATTATAACCTTTTGTGTCTCATGATCCATAGAAAAGAGCGCTGCACAGTTTGCAAGATGCTGCTTTCAATGAGCCTAGAAGATATCTACTCCAAGATTTAGATCGATTGGTGTCGTATCAGATTTCACAAGGCTACGCCGGAACAGGTTTGAAATTACGAGACGACAGTTACGATGGATACGAGCGAAATGATGGCGTTTTGACCGATGGCTTGGGTCAGTTATTTAATGGATTCGTTGGACCAAATGGTGTCGCAGATTCACCTTTCGAATGGGTTGGTTGGCAGAGGTCTATTTCCGGTAGTAACTATCACGCACGTTTTCGTAAATGATGCTTATGACCCATTTATGCAGGTTTCACCACCGAAATGGTATTCAAGTTTAGCGAGGTGAGAAACTTTACGTCGATCAGCATCCATTACGCGCATCAAAGCCATTTGGACGCCTCTGTGTTCTCGGCTGCGCACCTTTTTTTCAGTGTAAATGGTGACGTAAAAACGGACAGTGATTTTTTAGAGTTTCGACCTCACGTTCCCTCACTAAATGGTATGAAGTCATTCACACGTATTTGAAAGAATGCACTTACAATTATAGATGGTGGTCACTGGATCGACATTCCGACCAATCACCAGGTTGCAGACACCGTATTCATTCGATTCTTCCTCCGGTTCAAATGGTTTATCGTCAGCGAAGTTCGTTTTCAATCAAGTAAATCTTCATTCTCTCGAAAATGACACCAATAAGCTACACAGAATTTCCCCTCAATAAAATGTTGTGTTTTAGCGCCTTCAAGGAACATTTCGCTTGAAGCAAGTAACCGCAATTCTATTCATCAATCTTCTCTGGAAAGGGAAATCGCCATGCACTCATCTCGAGTAAAGTCGGTAATGGTACTAACGTTTGCTCCCCTTTCTATGGAGACCATAACCCTGATCGTTGGTAAGTGGATGAAGCAATTCGAGAACGTACACAAATAACTCTGGCGTTTAGGTGCTATGTTTGCTGTGCTGGGACTGGGTGCTATTGTTAGCTCGATTTTCGTTTCCAGGCAGAAGCGAATGAAGAAGTTCCAAAGTGTCAGCCCTCAGGCTTACCACTGCAATCAGTTTTCTGGCTCTAAAGATTCGAAAAATGTCTTCACCGGTGACGGCTCGCCTTTGAGTAGGACAGCAAACATGTCGCCGATTAATTCTAATTACACTGAGAATATGAACAATGTAACGAATCTGTTGCTAGAACAACTTCCCAGTGGTTCGCCACCAATGCGATATAATGCATCAGCTTCAACTGGGTACAAAGAAAGCTCTACGTCGCCGAATGAAGAAACTTCTGAATATGCGGATCCTGATGGCCAAATGCTTTCGAATCCAACTTTACCGTTGATTCCGCCCCCACCCCCTTACCAGAAGAGAAGGCAAAGCACTACTTCCTCTTCGTATACATCTGCCGCTAACAGTTCAGTCGACCAATGTCATGCGTATTCTCTGTATTACGCTTCGTCAGACATCATTTCTCCTGAAGAAGACTTGAAAAGTCAGGATGATGTCAGGTGAGCATTTATAAACACGCTGATTGTCGATTAATTTTATTCATTTCAGTGTTGCGTCGACGAATGAGCATGACGCGTTGACTGGATATAACTTGATCGATCGTTGTTGCTTGCTGTTCCAGGAGAAGCTTGGTGCCGGAGAGTTCGGAGAGGTGAATATACAAAGTAGGCTCATTCGTGCACAGTTCCTCTAAAAAAATTCATAGGTGCATCTTTGTCTTTACAAGTCGGAGGACAAACATGAAGGTGCGGTTCATCCATGCGACAAGACTCAGCGAGTGGCCGTCAAGCTGCTTCGCCTCAATGCCAACCATGATCGTACGGTGGACTTCGACAAAGAACTGCGCTTACTGTCGAAATTGAGCCATCCAAACATCGTTAGGCTTTTGGGCATATGCACTGATAAAAACGAAAAAATGATGGTATTCGAGTACATGGAAAATGGCGACCTCAATCAGTACCTCAGAAAAAATCGAAACGATCTGACGTAAGCAATCTTAGACGTCGCCCGTTCATTTCATTTGGTTGTCTTGACTCAGAAGCACTGATATAACGACGTTACGTCGTCTACTTATTTTCGAAGAATTTTACGCCTTTCGGGTAAAATTGAAACTGGCTTAATGTAGCCGCTAACGCTCCAGTGTAATGTAGCTGAAAATGGGGCGATGACGCGTGTATAACTGCTACATCATTGTCGATGAAACTACGATATTTGGTCAACACATTGTGACCAACAATCTATGAAGTAAAGTGTCTTGGAGCTTGCTAAACATTAAGGTGTCTCATTCGTATGCGTCCAAATAGCGATCAGAAATCTTTCCACTCGCTGAAGCAGTAGAATATGAAACTAATATATGCTTGCATTAGAAAAGCCTAGCAGTTTTAAAGAGCGTTCTTTCAGAACAGCGTCTCAGCTGCACATCGTCTACCAAATCGCTTCCGCTATGAAGTACCTGGAGTCCATCAACCACATTCATCGCGACCTGGCGACTCGGAACTGCCTCGTTGGAAAGCATCTAAGTGTGAAAGTTGGGGATTTTGGAATGGCACGCTCCCTTTATTCTTCTGACTACTACCGAATTGAAGGCAATTTTGTTTTGCCTATACGATGGATGGCGTGGGAGTGCGTCCTTCTGGTAAGCATATCGATGAATCAGTTATGTGATGAAATTTCTAACCCACATTTACCCTCGAAGCCATTTTTTTATCTTCTAGCCTCATGCTTGGTCCAGAAGATAGTTGTCTCACACATTCATCACGCTTCGTTTAGAGATCATGCTGGTGATAACCGTCACTGTTTTCCTTCTATATGAATTTTTATTTTGGACACGAAGATTCTTGTTCTGTCAGTAATACGTTTCGTCTCTCGAATGAATGACGGCTTTAAAATTCACACTCAGCCCATCAGTCTGTCACAGCTGAAATGGTTACACATTACTGTATTTTGGCCTGGCATACTACACACGTTTTGTTGACCTTTTCTTACAGTGTAGCCGAAGTGAAGCATATGAAGAGAGCATTTTTATCTGATCACAGCTGGTTGCGTCGTTCTCCAATGCTGGACAAATATTACGGTTAAATCCACGATCCTAAAGAAGTCTTTTCTGAGAGATTAAATGACGTTTCGGCAGTCAATTTTGTACTAACTGAACTTGAACGTGCCGATCATTGTACTACACTGCGTCTAAGATTCGAAAACGAAGGTAATGAGCATGACGTGAACGAAACGATTCAATTTATAGCCCATTATTCAAGGAGATGCGTTGCACGCATGAAATTCATTCGCCTTCTTCCTCGTCGGTGCTTCATGTAAATAGGCATCACAGTTACGGATTTAAATACTGCATGCTTCATCTGGCGGCGGGTGGGGGCAGGAATACAACCTCAACGGAGAAAATTCACACTATATTATCATACTGCCTGACTCTGAAGGGGAGAATCGTTAATGAATATTTTTGGAAACAGCATATGCCACGCATGAAGGCTCGAAATAAACATATGGTTAACCGCTTATCAATGCAACGGCGAATGCCCTAATTTCATCGTTGTTTCTGCATAATGCGGCTAGTGCAGTAAAACTTTAATATAATTATCGTCGTTTCATCTTCAGGGCAAATTTACTCCTAAAACAGACGTTTGGTCATTTGGAGTCGCATTATGGGAAGTTTTCGCTTTCGCCGAGCAGCAACCATTCGCCAAGATGAATGATGCCATCGTGATTGAAAACCTGCAGCACATGTATTACAACAGCACGCTGCAAGTAATCCATTTTTGTTGGCGCCAGCGTCGTTGTCGTTTTGTTAATGCCTATCTATTTTAGGTGTACCTCGAACAGCCTCGTGGGTGTTCCAATGACATTTATGAATTGATGCTTAAGTGCTGGAGGAAAGAAGACATTCATCGACCTACATTCAGAGAAATCGATGCGTTTCTGTCGAGAAAGGTGGCCACGCAGAGCAGTGCTATATCCTAAGGTCAGCCTCGATGCACGTCCTCGCCAATTCACCCCGAGTGGTGACTGATGGCCAACTGGCCAAATGTGCAAACGGCTGCTGTGATTACCCGTTTTTGGACCGGCCTATGTGTAAAGTGCAACTCAAGCAGCAGGACTTCGGTCGTCCTCAGTCATTAGAACTGTGTCAACGTGCGTCTTGGCACCGACCGTCAGAGGTTGTAACCAAAGATGTACATTTAGTGCATGTGAGTGTTGTCAGCGTTCAATAAACCCTCGCCGCTTCGTTGCAATTTTCAAAATTATCAAGCGCAGGAGAAGCTGTTAGCTAATTTATGAATATATGTTTATCGTACATTTACAAAGCTGACAGTGTCATGATATTATTGCTCGAAGTTTCTCACACGTTTCTCTGATGTCGATAGTCAAAATGGAATGTAGCAGTTTTATCCTGTCCAGCCTGACGTCGCCAATTCCTCTTCAATCGAACCCATTGCATTTTCAGTTCAGAGGCTAGACTACATGATGAACGGCTTTCGCTATGCTTTCAGTGCGGATTCATGCCAACGAGGGCCCCTGAGTTGGCAGTTGACGTACCCTTCTTCCAGACAAATTTACCTAAATGTCTAGTGTTCTATCTATCCAAGTACCAATGCTTTGTTAAGTGACCTCTTCAGGGCTCAGTGCAATTCTAGTATTATCATAAAATGCTATCCTCGGTACTTCACTTTTGCATATGTCCTCTTACGTCGGTCATTAGCCGGTCCTTGCTTCGTGAACGACAATGTGGCTTTTCGCTGGAGCGCTATGAACTATATCTACGACAGGAATCACCGTATCGTCTGCCCCCCCCCCCATTAAAGGTATAAAGAAGCAAAGAAATTGCACCTGCCATCGTTTACTTCTGACGGTATGAAAGTAAAAGGAACTTTTTGCGTAGTTTCTGGTTATCCAAGTCACTACGTTTCTAAGGACATCTTGCATCTGCACTTACATCTGCGTTTCACGTACCTATGTTCATTTACCTGGTGCATAACCATAGGCAGATAGGTATGAATTCAACGAAGTGCGCATGGCCGACTTTTGTCTTGAGAAGAGTGATCACGGCGTTTGGTCAGTCAGGGGCGCAGACCCGTCTTAGGCTGGTGTCACATTTCGATTCAGCCTCTCTGAGGCATGCTGCTGAGATGATCACCGGATTTCGGAGTCGGGTTTACGGCGCCAGTGCTGATCTTTAATCCTGCCGCAAGCGGCTGTCG